CTGCTTCTGCTTCCATCAGCTACTGGGTGAATGCTCTAGGATAGCATTTAAGATAGTCATCAGTTTCATTGCTTAGATTCTTAGCTGGGGTCATCCTTGAAGATCCCTGGGGGTTTCCCTAGTTCCAGATTTCTCTTTAAATCTATAATGACTCCATCTCTTCAGGTATCTCTTTTCTTGCTCTCCTCTATTCTTCCCTCGACTTGACCTTCCTGATCCCTCATGTTCTCCTCCCCTCCCCCCCATTCTCCCAATTTGCTCAGGAGATTTTGTCCCTTTCCTCTTTCCCCAGTGACCATGTATGTCTCTCTTGGGGTCCTCCTTGTTTCCTAGCTACTCTGGGGTTGTGGATTATAGGCTGATTATCCTTTGCTCTATCTCTAATATCCACTTATGAGTGAGTACATACCATATTTGTCTTTCTGTGTCTGGGTTACCTCACTTGGGATGGTTAATGTGGGTTCCTGGGCATTGAACTTAGGTCCTTTTGCTTGTAAAACACTTTACTGATGGAACTTTTTCATTAGCCTGTAATCTTTTAACCATTTAATGTATACCTAATTCTCACAGTTCCACTGCACCAATCAACCACCAATCCATTTTCTGTGTCTATGTAGGACAGTAGCTATAAATGGACTCATATAATGTGACCTTTCTGACTGACTCTTTTCGACTTAGTGTAATGTTTTCAAGTCTCATCATGTTTAGCATGCATCACTACCTTCATTGTTGTGGCTGCACGATGCATTGTCTATGCACTCCCTTCTTTCCTCTTGGTGCTGGGAATCCCCAGCTTTAATATGCAGACTGGCAGTCTGCTAGCTGAGCCCTAGCTCCTTGAGACTATCCAGTATTGTGTGTTTCTCTGTTAGCTGATGGCCACTGGACATTTACACTGAGGTTGCTAATATATTTCTACATGTTTCTGTGATATACTTATAGTTATTTTGATTTAATAACAGTGAAATTCTTGTGTCATATAACTAACCGTTTAACTTTGAGGAACTGACTTTAACATTTTAAGTATGTGGATGTGGTTGTAGTTGGCTCAGAGAAAGTTCTGCCAAGTGGAAGATACATCTATCCTCTTGTTTATTTTTATTTATATTTTAAGAGATTTATTTATTTACTTTTGTGTGTCTCTGTGTGGGTGTGTGTATTGTGTGGAGGCCAAAAGAGGACCTTAAGTGTCATCCTCTGTCACTCTCTGCCACTTTCTTTGAGGCAGAGTTTTCCTGGCTAGGCCAGAAGCCAGCAAGCCCCCCTGATTTTCCCTCACTGCTGGAGACAGGTGCTTGCTGGATGTCCAGTTGTTACATGAGTGCTCGCATCCAATCTCCAGTCCTCATTGCGGGGCAGTGTGTTCGCTCTCTATCTTGTTTATAATGACACTGGAAACTTTGTCCTTTTACTTCTACTCAGACTAGCTTATTTTGTTGTTTATCAAGACCAAGTTTGTCAAACTGTGTGGTTCTTTTGAGTGTTGTACTAAACCTCTGTAGTGTTCACTGTTAGATTCCGCTTACATAAGTTGTGTCCTGAAGACCCAGTTCTGTTAATGAGCTTTCTCCCCCTTCTGCTTGTGTAAATCTGCTCTGAGACAGGTGACCTGAAGCTATTCTTGATGTACTCTTTTATTCTTTGTTCTACAGCTAGGGCACGCTGTCATCTGGGGATGAAAGTAGGCTAGAAATATACTATTGTTATTAGTTTGTACAAATTTGCATTTCCAATCAAGTAGCAAAGTCCCTTAGCTGATGCTGAAGGTGCTTTGAATTTCCTACTTTATTAGTTGTGATAACAATTGACAGTAATGTAGAGAGTATAGTCAACTGAACTAGGAGATGGCTCTGTGGCTACAGTACTCAGTAGACTAGAGTTGGGATCCCTTGAAACCCATGTAAAGGGAAAGGGAGAAGCATTTTCTTCAGTGGTGTAGCTATTGGCAAGGTGCCCATGCCCCTAAAAAACTGCAAATAACCTCACTTCTGCCCTTTTGAGCACCCATGCTGAAACTCAGTGGGTTACCAAAAACACACATACAAAAGAGAACAGTAACAAAACAACAAAACACAACAACAACAACAAAACCCAGAAGGGGCATTAAAGAAGAAGGGGGCTGGTTGGGAAGAGTACGGGGACAGCAGGAGTGGAAGAGAATTTAATGGGGAGCGTCTTAGTTAGGGTTTCTATAGCTGTGGAAAGACACCATGACCATGGCAACTCTTAAAGGAAACATTTAATTAGGGTGGCAGCTTACAGTTCAGAGGTTTAGTCCATTATCGTCATGGCAGGGAGAATGGCAGCATGCAGGCAGATGTGGTGCTAGAGGATTTGCTAAGAGTCCTACATCTTGCAGGCAACAGGAAGTCAACTGAGACATTAGGCAGTACCCTGACGATAGGAAACCTCAAAGCCTGCCCCTGCAGTGACACACTTCCTCCAATAAGACCATACCTCCTAATATGGGAGTTATGGGGGCCAATTACATTCAAACTACCACAGGGAGTGTGTGTGTGTGTGGTAAAAAACACATTATCTACATTTATTATGAATGTATGCTAACAAAGATTTTATTTAAAGTAAAAAAATATTTAAAAAGCCAGTGAATGTAAACAAAATATGGATAGCAGATATTTCTGGAGGTTGTGAAAGGGATGCATAAAAAATTTCAGTAGCTTTAGAGCTATAAACTAAGAGAAATTTATGAACTTATGATGTTTTTTCAGCATCTTATATATATTTTACATGTATTGAATATATTATGATGGTAATCTTAATCAATAAAATATCCATGACATAGCACTACTGAAAAGAATGCTATATAGCAGTATCCTGAGGTAATGCAAGCCTTTATCTCCCATGATATTTGCCTTCAACTAATATATTATAGTCTCTGTATTAGTTACTTTTGTATTATATTAGTTATCTGTGTGACTACAGTTCCCAACAGAGACAGTTTAAAGGGAGAATGGTTTATTCTAGTTCGTGATTTCAGAGTGTTGTAGTTCATTGTGACAGGGAATGTACAGAGGGACAGCTCAGTGTATGGTAGTAGGAGCATGTAGCAGAAACTGTTCACTTCATCACAAAATAGGAAGCAGAGAGACAGCTGGCTTCACAGCCACCCCCAGTAGCTCCCAAGAGGGCTGTGTGGGATTTTTCAGCTTCTAACCATAGCAGTTTCTTCTTCCTTTCTGGGGTGGGGGTGTTTTGGGGGGATTGGTATCTATGTCTTCCTACTTGAAAATAAAATTCTTTTGACGCAGAAGAGTCTCTTTTTGAAAGAAAAACTTTTGAACTGGAGTGATGGCTGTAGAGAAAAGCTTCTGGTTCCCTCCCCCCACCCCCACCAGTCACCTGGGCTCTGCCACGTTGTAGTCCCCAAATAACACACAAGACGCTATATTAATTAGGAAGCTGTTGGCCTTGCTTGTTTCTTACTGGCTATCTCTAACTTAAGTATTTACCCCATAACTGTTAATCTTAGTATTTCTCTTACCGGAGAAAAGTTTCCGGGCTTCTTACCCCTATGGTGGTTACATCTTGACTCTCTGTGTTTTCCTTCCCAGAGTTCTGCTTGACTCCTAGTCCCACCTATTGGCCAACAGTGCTTTATTGGCATATATGCAGGAACTCCCCCATCAGTTGGCTCAGCAGTTAGGAACACCTGATGTTCTTGAAGAGGCCTGGTAATGGGTTCCCAGCGCCTGTGTTTTGTGGCTCATAACAGCCTGTAACCTTAGCTCCAGGGGATCCCATGCCCTCTTCTGACCTCCTTCAACACTGTACTCATGTATGCAAACCCACTCACAGAGAGAGATACACAAAGTTTTAAAAAAATCTTTCCTTTTCAATGTTCTCCTGGTTTCTACTTGATTGATTTCAGCCCTCAATTTGATTATTTCCTGGCGTCTGCTCCTCCTGGGTGAGTTTGCTTCTTTTTGTTCTAGAACGTTCAGCTGTGCTATTAATTCTCTAGTATGACTGTTCTCCAGTTTCTTCATGTGGGCACTTAGTGCTATGAACTTTCCTCTCAGCACTGCTTTCAAAGTGTCCCATAGGTTTGCGTATGTTGTGTCTTCATTCTCATTGAATTCCAGGAAGCCTTTAATTTCTTTTTTCATTTCTTCCTTTACCCAGGGATGGTGCAATTGTGCATTGTTCAATTTCCATGAGTTTGTAGTGTTTCTGCGATTTGTGTTATTGTTCAATTCTAATTTTAATGCATGGTGGTCTGATAAGATACAGGGGGTTATTCCAATTTTTTTGTATCTGTGGAGATTTACTATGTGTCCTATTATGTGGTCAATTTTAGAGAAGGTTCCATGTGGCGCCGAGAAGAAGGTATATCCCTTTGTGTTTGGATTCTCCTCCCCAACCTAGCCTTTCTCCTACCCATATTAATGATGAAAATGTGTAATGGTATAGCCACACTGCTCTGCCACAGTATTGACACAGCCTCTCTCTGATGTGAGTGCTAAGTCAAGAGAAGTGTTTTATAGACATCCGTCTCTACTTAGTGGTGATGATGTGTTCTTTACAAGTGCAGAAATATACTTGTTTTGTTGGAATGTAGACTCCACTTGTGACAAAACACAAAGGTATAATATTGATATGAGTTTTGCATGAGATGGATGTCCTTGCTTACCTTTAGCTCATACTATATTTCTGAAGGAGAGACTGGTCAGAAGCATATGGATATGGGGACCAGGTTAAGGAAGAGAGCTAGGAAATTGCTTCTTACATAGGAAGAGAATTAACTATTTTAAGTTTTAAGTTATTTATTTGATTATTTATTTATTTACAATCAACCAATGCTAGGGATTGAGCCAAGAGCCTTCCTCATTCTAGGCAAGTACTGTCCTATATAGAATTAGGGAAGTATATTTCACTATTTTGAAGCTGTTGACATCTTAAAGTGTTAAAAGTGGCTCCTTTCTTTCCTTTTCCTAATATGTGCTTCTTCCCCCCCCCCCTTTTAAACTGGTTTTTACTAGTTCTGGGACCGTCTGGATCATACAATGTTTTTACAAGATTTTAGATCATTTCTAACTAGCAATCCACTGGACCAAGATAATAGAGCCAATGAGAGAGGTCACCAAACTCACACTGACTTTTGGGGACCAAGTCGGCCTCCAAGGTTGCCAATGACGAGAAGATACAGGTCTCGAGGAAGTACTCGTCCCGACAGGTCACCAGCTATTGAAGGGTGAGTTGTTGTTTTGAGTTCTTAAGGGTTATTTCATGAAGGGCATACTGGCATAATCTAATTTTTATAAGGTCTTCAAACTTGTTTTTGTGGATAAGACAGAAATATAGACAAGATTAAATGAAATTAAGTTGAATGTCATATTCAAGTATTATCAGTTAAGGATTGGTGATAAAGTAGAGAGTGATAAATCTTTTTTTTTTTTTTTTTTTTTTTTTTTTGGTTTTTCGAGACAGGGTTTCTCTGTAGCTTTGGAGGCTGTCCCGGAACTCACTTTGTAGACCAGGCTGGCCTCGAACTCACAGAGATCCGCCTGCCTCTGCCTCCCGAGGGCTGGGATTAAAGGCATACGCCACCAACGCCCGGCTGAGAGTGATAAATCTAATACATTGCTCTGTAGCATTTTTATTAATGTTTCAGATTAACACAGAGGGGATTTATCAACAAGACCAACCTGGGCGAGAGAGAGAGAGAGAGAGAGGGAGGGAGGGAGGGAGGGAGGGAGGGAGGGAGGGAAAGGGTTTGAATGATAGTAAGAGGTATAACAAATTATATAACATTGGGATCTGTCTTTTCATTTGCTGTGATAAAACACTATGATCTAGGCAACTTATAAAAGAAAATGTTTAATTGGGCTTATGGTTTCAGAGGACTAAGAGTCCATCATGGACGAACAGTATGGCAGCGATCAATAGACATGTTGGTGCATCTGAATTCACATCTTGGTCTGCAAGTAGGAGACTGAGAGAGGGTGCAATGGGAGTGCCTTGGGCTTTTGAAACCTCAAAGCCTGACCCTAGAGACACACCTCCTATTGCTTTCCAAACAGTTCCACCAACTGGGGGCCATTCTTATTCAAATCACCACAGAATACAAAGATCATAATTTAAATAGATGAGAACAGAGAGCTTAGTATGGAACTTCTCTATCATTCTTGCTTAAAACTAGTTTTCTGAGGCTATTTGTATCTACCCAGTGTCCCAGGCTGGCTTTGAACTCCAGTCTTCCTGCTGTCGCCAAGCCTGCTTTATATTACATTTTTGTTAAAGGAAAGGGAATTTTTTTTCTACTGCCTCATACATTCTGTGCTAAGAATATTCCCTGTGTCGCAAGCATGCTTCCTGCCCACAGATGATAAAGAAAGCTAGATGAGTAGATTGAACTTTCTATCCTTTGCTGAGAGGTGGCAAGGAGAATGATGTTGAGGATGGATTTATGATTAGTCATCCACAATGTCTACTAATCAGTGACAGTGGAATAAATGGCATATTTGTGCAAGGTGTGGTGGCATATATTTGTAACAACAGCTCTTGGGAGCTGAAAGCAGAAGAATCTGGAGTTCAAGGCTAGCCTAAGCTGTATAATGAGTTTGAGGTCAGCCTCGATTACATGAGCCTTTTAACTAAGAAGAAAACAACAACAACAAAAAACATGTGTCAGATGAGTTGCACTGTACAGTCAACACTTGTTCATGTATAGCAGTCTTTTGAGGATTTTATTTTATTTATTCTCACTATGGGTGTAAGTTAAAATTTTAGTTCTCAAAATGTTTTGTACATTTTGGTCATTTAAATTATTTCTTGATGAATTCTTTCCTTTGTATAATCACTGTTGTATTTCTTTAAATAGACGCACCTATTTTTAATTTTATTTAGATGTTGTATTGTGAAATGAACCTGCATGCTTTTAGATGTTCAAGCATCATTGACTGTATAGTCAGTAGTATTTTTTTTCACTTACTTTTCTTACCAAGTAGAGATTATATCTTGAAATATGATCAGAAAATACCAGGTTACTTTCTGGGGGTTCTTGAAATGGGGAGTAGTTGTGGAGTCCATCTCTCACTGTTGGGACTCGACATGTCCACTGTAACAAATCTGTGTGCATTTCCCAACACACACATACTTTCTTATAGATACCCAGGTAGAATTCTGCTCTTTTACTTGGTAGAGATGCTATGCTTGCAGCTGCTGCCGTCTGCCCTGCAGTTCGCATGGAAGGCATGGCTGATGCCAGTGACAGCAGAGTGGAGGATGAAGGGGACATTCTCTATTGCCTTCCCAGCCTCTAGCACTCATTGCTCATAATTTACCCAGGTTGTGGTATTGGAACTGAAACACAAGGTTATTAATGTCTTCTGTCCTGTTAGACTTAAGTTCCAAGAAGAAAGGAACCGTTATTCCTGCTATAACATAATGGTGTTTTTGTTTTAAGGCAGAATGTTGCCATGTCTTGCCTGGAGTGGCCTATGTAGCCCCTTATGACCACCAGGTTGGGGATGGTTGCGATGGTTCTGATTGCTGAATTTGGGGGACACTAGCAAAGGCACCTGCCTTCTCTGTATGAAAAGATGCCATTCCCCACCACAGGTGTAGTAAAGGAGGCCTCCAGCCCAAAGCAGTCCTAAAGAGTCACAGGGCCCTGCCCACCCGAGGCTGGCCATGGGAAGACTTCCTGACAAAAGCCAGGTCTCCACCCAGCTCTGCCCTGGGGAACTGGTGAAGACAAGGGAGATGGTCTTTTCTTGCTTTCTTTGCTTTTGACAGGGTTTCTCTGTATGGCCCTGGAATTCACAGAGATCCTCTGGCCTCTGCCTCCCAAGTGCTGGGATTAAAGGCGTGTGCCACCACTGCCCTGCTGAAAAGATGGTCTTTTCTAAGAGGCCACAAACTAGAAAAGAGAAGGCTAAAGCCCAAGCCACTTTGGCAATCAGGGCAATGACAGAAAACAGAGGACACTGGGGAGAGTACAGCTCTCCACTCAGTATCTCTGCCGTCCAGGTGGATAAGGGCAGCTGGATCCCCAGCTCTCCCTGTGGACACAGGAGCCCCGTGTCTTCAGTGTACTCATGGCAAACAGCAACTGATATGGAAAGAAGCAATAGAGGGCTGAGGATGCTGCCCCCAGGCCTGGATGTGGCTCTTTGCAATGAGGACTAGGTAGTAGATGACCGTGCCGATTACTGCAGCCAGTGCTTCTGTGGAGACACAGGCCTCAAGACCTTTCAATCCTCCTGCCTCACTCAGCCTCCATGTTACTGCATTGTAGGGATGAGCCACTATATCCTGGAAACTAGACTTCTCTTTACAAATAATAGGACATAGATTAGGAACTATATTAGTTACTTTGTACAAAAGCAATGTAAGGGAGGAAAGGGGTTTGTGGGTTCACAGTTCAAGGTGCAGTTCATCACAGAGAAGTCATGGGAACAGGAGCCTGAGGCGGCTGGGCACAAGGAGGCGGAGGCATGAGTATTCATTTCATGCCATCATCGCATGTCTAGGATGAATCTTTCCACCTCAACTAAATGAACCTAATCTTGAAAGTCCCATACCCAAAGATTTGTTTCCGTGGTGATTCTAGAGCCTGTCAAATTGTCAGTCAAGATTAACCCTCTTGGGAACCAAAAGCAAACTTGCTCTTAAAAAGAAGCGGATTCATTCTCACTAAAATCAGGAAGACTGCTACTAAATACCTTTCAACAACTAAGAGTCAGTGCAGGACTGGAGACCTGGCTCAGCAGTTAGGAGCACTGACTGCTCTTCTAGTAGATCCTGGTTCAATTTCCAGTGCCCACATGAGGCTTAGCTATGATGTAACCTAAGTTCCAGGGGATCTGATGCCCTCTTCTGGTTTTATGGACACTGTATGCCCAGACATCAGGCAGGCAAAACACCATATACATAAACAAATTAAAATTTGTCAGTGTGACATTGTGGATGTAGTCACCTGAATACTTGAACTGGGCATGGAAAATCTGCTTCCATGGGTGGCTCCTTCACTTGAGGATTTGCGGGCTGCCTTAGTTTACTCACCATATGGCTTTCCCATGGAGCTCTTTGACTGTCCCCTTGACCTGGCAGCTGGCTGCATTAGAGTAAATGATCCAGTATATAGACAGAGGTAGAAGGAAAATCATGATCACTTTTATATCCTAATCTTGCAAGCCATATAGTCACTTCTGCCATATCTTGTCTGTAAGACATGAGTCACTAAGTCCAACCAAGTTTGAAGGGAGAGAAGTATTGAATAATTTGTAGACATATTTGTCCTATGGTCTAATATTGGCTATTGTCAGACTTGTTAGCTTAATGTCCTTGTTTAAAAGGAAATGGGTCCAGAATGCCCTTGGGATAGCATCCTTTGAACTCTTTCTCAAATTAGTATCGGACACACAAGGAAATGTTTTGATAACTACATCATAACATCAGGCATTTTTAAAATCTAATTCATAAACAGAAGTACTAATCTGTAAGGTGGAAGAACGGACACACATACTCCAGGCAGTGGGCTGATTTCTGCTGCTATCTTTTGTATAATGACCAGTTGAAAACAATTGTATTTTAGGGTATTGGTAGTTGATTAGTCAGCCATGATTGTCTGTAGAATATTTCTGTGTGTTACTTTATACCATTTTTTCTCCTTTAACAGAATAATACAACAGATCTTTGCAGGATTCTTTGCAAATTCTGCAATTCCTGGATCCCCACATCCCTTTTCTTGGTGAGTGACCATGCTTTGTCTATATTATTCTGCTTGAGTAGTTCCATTTTAGATACTATCATTTCTGTACCACAGAGAAAGGAAAAACTGATTGGTGAGTATATGGATGTGCCTGGGATGCTAGACCACTATTGCTTGCAGAATCCAAGCTCAGTCAGAACTGACTTTTCCTTGAGGATGCTCAGGACAGCTGTCCTGGTCCCTTAGGATACTGGCTGGATATCCCTGGTACCTTTTCTGTCTTGGTCTGAGGATAATGTTGTGGTGGGTGATGACATGGTCCCTGCCAGGTTTGGTATCTGTTTGTGAGTTTTCCTTATGGGCCACACAGGAAGATGTGCTTCAGTCATTTCTGAAGTTGAAAACGTAACATTCTACTTTGTTTTCTCAAAGCGAGGAAGTTTCTCAACAAACAAAGACACACATAGTTCAGTGTCAGAGTGACACTTAGGCATGGCAGGGATTACAGACAATGTCTTCCAAGAACCATCTTTCCTCTAGTTACTTGTCTTCCAATGTTGCGATAGGTGGGTTTTCTGTTCAGAGGTAACTCAGTTCTTCCCCACATCTATCCCATTTTATAGCCTCTAGTTACATTAAGTGTGGTCTAGCTATACCCTATGCCTTCATCCAAGGTACTGAACCAACTACACCAAGACAGAAATGGCCAAGACCCTTTGTAAGTGCTGGGTCATAATTCACAGGAACTGTTGTGGTTGCTTCTCTACCAGGAAGACTGTGGGAGGACTCATGTGGCCTCTTTGAATCAGGGAAGCTGCTATTGATTTGGGTCAGACAAAATGCAAACCTTTCTTAACCCATGGGCAGTGAACTCGTTTTTTGCTCTGGGGTGTTACGTGGCATTTTAGATGGCATCATATTTTGTTCCAGTTAGGTAAAATTTGTTGAAAATGGAAGCATATCTCTAGATAATCTGGTTGACCTTTCAAATACAGAGAATGTCTTTGCCTCTCGATTTTAGAGGACTAGTGACTTTTTACCTCCGAGAGAGCATATCCCATTGCTAGTCCCCCCACCCCCTTTGTGGTATAAGGCAGAGCCTGGTCGCCCCACCTAATCTTGTCTGTCTCATCTCACGTATAGGAGCGGGATGCTGCACTCCAACCCTGGGGACTATGCCTGGGGTCAGACAGGGCTTGATGCCATTGTAACCCAGGTGAGGAGCTGCCGTTTGAGAGGGTGTCTGTTCAGGGTGTCTCATGGGTCCACAGCTTCCTGCATTCCTTCTGCTACTCTCTGCAATGGCAGTCACTCTGCTTTCACTGACATTTTGAGCTTTTGGGTTTCTGTTTTTACCAAATGGATGGATGGGCTATGGGTTTAGCCTACTTTCCATGTTCCTGTTAGGCATCAGGGATTTTCTAGAAGATCATTTTACCTCTAGAGGAAGTAAAAACTTCTCCTGTAATGGTATATTGTAATTTTGTCCTCATTCAGTCCTATGAGGGACAGGTGCTTCACGGAACAATAGGGTTGCACACGTTGAAGCAGGGGCTTTGCTAGATGGAGCAAAGTAGAGGAAGGAAGCAGAGAAGATCTTTCCATGCCGTGTATAATTGCTTCTGCATGGTTATGTTCATTTCCCTGTGGACTGCTGAGAATAGAAAGCATGTTGTTTATTCTGAGTCTTCTTATAGACACTAATATACCCATTTCTTGGCTTTTTGCTGTTTTTCATACTCCCATGCCTTCCTTCTGACTGAAGGAAATTTTGAACTGGTTAGCTGTTGATTTTTATTAGCTGTAATTTCATTCAGGACATCACGAATCTTGGTATCTTAAGTTTGCTTTGTGCCCAAAGATGAGCCTTTCAGTTAAGAGTCTGTCTTTTAATCATGGCTTACACTGGTGTCACTCTGACACTGTGAAGCAGCTGTGAGTGTTCCATCACCCGGGAGGGGAACCCAGCCTCTTGGAGTCCTGCAGAAATTAAGAGCCGTGAACAGTCTTAATGCCTGCCCTGTTTGTTCTCAGCTGGAACGGTCCATCTGCAGGTACTGAGGTAACCAACATTGCTGCATTTTCTTTTTGTAGCTTCTAGGACAGCTAGAAAACACAGGTCCCCCTCCAGCTGACAAGGAAAAGATCACTTCTCTCCCAACGGTGACAGTAACTCAGGAACAAGTTGGTAAGTTGTTTTTACATTTGTTCTGTCATCCTGTCAGATCTAACATTCAGTGCACTTCTGTTCTAAAGCTATGGTTTCCTAACATTCCTGTCTGGCTGCCAGCTGTGGAGGACCTAGTTAGCACGCCTGCTTCCTAGGTCCCACTGGAAATAAAGAGATACAGCCTTTTGTACAAAACTTGATTATAATTAGTACATGAACTTACCATTGGAAACAAATTTACTAAATGTTTCAAAAAGCTGTTGGAAATAGTGTTGGGCACATGATAACATAGGGAGAGGAGAAGAGGACAAATAACCAGGCTAGGGATTTGTTTCAAATGTGAGATGTGGTCAGGTCTACAACCTAAAACATCTTGAAACTTCTCTAGCAGTTTGAAGTTTTCTGCAACAAGCCTGTCCTTTCCCTGTCTGGTCAGACGCTGTCTACCTCTCACATCAGAGTCCACTCCAGAGCTAGTAAGGGTTTATCAGGGAAGGTGTGGGGATACTGGGAGGAGTGAAGGGAGAGGAAACTGAGGGCAGCATGTAACGTATGAGAAAAGAATGGAAGACCGTGGATTATATCATGACTGTGTTGGTGTCCTCACCCTTCTGAAAGGCTCCTCAGATGGAGGGGTGAGGGATGTGAGAGATCTTTAGGAAGGTTCTCTGAAATAATGCGTTTGATAAAATGGGAAGGAGAGAAGGTGGGGACAAACTAGGGAGGCTTTTGCTGTAGTTCAGGTGGTATTCTAGTGACAGTGCTAGTATTGGCAGAAAGGAAAAGGTAGATTTAGAAGTGCAATTTTCAATTAGGGCATGGAGGTGCACACCTTTAATCCCAGCACTAGGGAGGCAGAAACAGGCAGATCTCGGAATTCAAGGCCAGCCTGGTTCACAGAGTGAGTTGTAGATTATCTAGGCCTACATAGTGTGACCCCCCCAAAAAAGAAAAGTCCAATTTTGAAAAAAAAAACATTAGTTTTATTACTGTTACATAGTAATATGAAGGAGGCAAAAGGATTATTAAAGGTATTATGAAATTCCAGAGGGCTATAAAGGCTTGGGTAGTGGGCAACCATGAATTGGCTCTGGTCTGCATAAGGAGATGCTGTGATGGTTTTAATTCTGAATTTATTGATTTTGAGGTGCTAGCTGAGAGTCCAGGCAGAGATAAATTGGAGGTTATCCTGAAGCTGGTTTAGGGCAAATTGGTTGGAAGTGAAGTTTGGATATATTTGGATTGCTAAGGGTTAAAATTGGGTGCTGCCTAGTAGACTGTTGTAGTAGACTTGACATAAGAAGTGGAGCTCATTCTGTAGACCAGGCCGGCCTCGAACTCACAGAGATCCGCCTGCCTCTGCCTCCCGAGTGCTGGGACTAAAGGTGTGTGCCACCATCGCCGGCTAGGAAGGGATCTTTTCTCCAAACGCCTTGATCATGGTTAGGGCCTGGAGCTTAGCTCAGCCATTAGATACTACTAACCAGATTTCTGAAATTCAGAATTTGCCACTTAGAACTTTGAATATAGTAGCCATTTTCTCTGAAGGAAAAGCCTTCTGTTGGTTGGTTTGGAATCCTGGGTGCACTTGCCTCCTGTAGTTCTGTGGCATATCTCCTGGTACAACTTTTAATTAACAGCTTCAGAGGACCCTGGACAGCCTTCTGAAGAGAGCATAGTGAGGACAAGAACAGGGTAAGGGTGGTTAAAACCCTGGCTAGCCCTGTGGAGGTTGCTGAGATAAGCCCCTTGCTTAGGGAACACAGGTTGTCACTGTTTTCTAGGCAAAAACTGGCTGACAGAGGCTGTCACACATTTGGGAGGATGTTTTCCCTATTTTATTTAATAGACAAGTTTCTGCTCATCTTTTACATTTTAAGAATTGTTTTTATTTTGTAAAGTAAGAGGATAACTTGTGGGAGTTGATTTTCTTTTCCCAGGATGTGGGTCCCATGGATTAAACTCAGGTCATCAGGCTTGGTATCAAGCTTCTTTATTCTCTAAGCCACCTCACTGGACCAACTCTGCTAAATCTTCGAGTTTGTTGCACTAAAATTGGGTCTACTATATGATTCCTGTTAGGTCTATTGGAGTTAGCCCCATTTGTTTCAATGTCTATTGCCATATCTGTTTCCATTTTGAATAGAATTCATACTTTTTATCTGCCTATCACTTAGATATAATCCCACACACACACCCATATGTGTATGTAGGGGGAGAAACCTTTTGTTAATGCATTTCTTGGGTTGTTAGAAACAGATTAGTTGGCTTTGTTCTTTTTTATTTGTTTGTTTTTGAGGTAGACTTTGTAGCCCACGTTAGCCTTGACCTTCCATGCTTCTTGCTTTCCAGTGCTGGGCTTATAGACCTGCACCATATGCCTGACTCTTGGCTGTCTTCCTGCCTTCCTTTTTGCTTGTTTCTTTAAAGTGCACTTCTTCCTCCAACAGATACGGGGTTGGAGTGTCCAGTGTGTAAAGAAGATTACACAGTTGAAGAGCAAGTCCGGCAGTTACCCTGCAACCACTTCTTCCACAGCAGCTGCATTGTGCCGTGGTTAGAACTGGTGAGTACGGTGGGCTCTCATGTGTGACCAGGCAGCTGGCGAGTTACCTATAGCTAGGATGAGGCTGGTTCAGAGTAAAGATGTAGTTGGAGTTCAGAGAACCAAACAAATCAGAGTTTAGCCTTCCTGACTGGCTCCTGGTGTCATCTATGCTGTTTTGTTCCATTGTTATCCCTCTGCAGTGCTTCTAACCAGAGGATAGTATGCTCTAGTACACAGGCCTCGGTGACATGCCAGCAGGTCTTGTAAATAGTGTTTCTGGCACATTTAACAGACCGTGGCTGTTCCCGTGCTAGCTAGACAGGGTGTACAAGAGTTGGTATAGCCTGCAAAGCCTTAAGGATTTAGCTTTTAATTAAGTCATGTATATATATGTGTTGTGGGAGTGGGTATGTACACATGAATACAGATGCTCTCAGTGGCTAGAAGAGGTATCAGAGTCCCTGGAGATTGGGCTACAAACACTCGTAATACATGGGTGCTGGGAACTGAACTCGGTCCTCTGCAAGGGTAGAGCATGCTTTTAACCACTGAGCATCTCTCCATTCTCTCTCTGTCCCTTTAAAGAAAAAGTTTGCTTAGCCTCATCTAGAATCCATGGGGAAATGACTGATAGTTACCTTTGTCTCATAATTCAGGGCACCGATAGCAGTTTGTTTTGTTGGCTGTTATGTGTTGCTCTTATTAGCTTCTTGACTTAGAATTTTGTCCATTGCTTAAAATTCTATTCTGGAGATATCCTGGTATGGTGTCTTTTTCATTGTAAACTCATTATTTTACTAATAGTTTTGGTGATACTAGAGATGAACCTAGGGCCTCGTGAATGCTAGGCAGTTTCCCTTAACTCACTATTGGGGGTGAAGTGGCATGTGGGTACACAGGCTATATGTGCATGGGGAAGCCAAAGGTCAACCTTAGATGTTGTTCCTTAAGAAGTATTTGCTTTGATTCTTGAAATGGTGTCTCTTGTTGGTTGACTTGGGACTCGACAGATCAGGCTGGCCACAAACCCCAGGGGTCTGTGTTTCTGCCTCTCCAGAAATGGGATTACAAACATGTATCACTGGCATTTTATATGGGTTCTGTATTTTTGTTTGTGAGTGTTTTACTGACTGAGCTATCTCCTCAGCTTACTTTGGGTTTCTGGAGTATTTGGTATTCCTGGCTTCTCAGGCCGTGCTGTTTATGTGGACTGATATCATCTTGTTTCAGCATGACACATGCCCCGTATGTAGGAAGAGCTTAAATGGTGAGGACTCTACTCGGCAAACCCAGAGCTCTGAGGCCTCTGCAAGCAACAGATTTAGCAATGACAGCCAGCTACATGACCGATGGACTTTCTGAAACAAAGACCACACCTGAACCAGGGCTGCCTGTATTAGTCTTCTTATCATAGCTGTAAATTGTATAAAAACTAAACAAACAAAATCGTAGATGGATTTAGGAATCATGTAAGAAACCCCAATCCATGATATTAATGCAATGAGTGTATTTCTCTAAATTTAAGGTTAGGACCTACAGATGGGATTGTATCTATAACCAAATGCCCCTTGTTCCTGAATTCAGAGTGATACTTTTAAAAGTGTGAAACTTAATAATGTCCATTTTGTCCTGCCTAGTAGAACAGTTCCTTTAAAGTCTGCCTAGGGTTCTGCTGTCATATTGTCTTGTAATGGATGTCTCTACCTCCTCCTCCAGTCCTATCCCACCAGTAATGGACATTGCAGCAAATACAGAGGAGCCTGAGCCCTAGGGTCTTGTTATATAAAGTCTTTTTTTTTTTTTTTGTCTTAATTGTACAAGAGTACCTACTCTTGGCTATATTAGCAAGGTAGAACAAATTAAGGAAAATTACAGTGGGAAGGGAAAGTGGCCTGTCATCTTCACTTTGATTTTCTTATTTTAATTCAGGAAGTGCAGTTTCCCTAAAAAACCAACATGGAATGTCTTAGTCCTGGGTTGGAAAAAATCTGATTTTGGTTCCTTTTTGGCATTAAGTTAGGCAGCATATAGACACAGAAGGACAGATGTTGGAATTCTTTACTACTGAGATGTTTTTAATAACCCTCAACTCATTCTTTACTGTCTTTCATACTAGGGACCTTACAAGAATTTCCCTCATAAAAATAGGATTTTTTTTATTAGTGCTTCTATACCAGTTTACATTCTTGGTAAACTTATTGTTATTTAGGAATTGAAATTTTATGTTGTCTGTTTTAGTTTGTAAAGCCCATTTTCCGTGTGTGAAACTTCCTGTTCAGTTCAGTTCTAGCTATACTTGGAATCAATCTGATCAATGTAATCATGCCCAAAACAGCTTATTCTGGGAAAGGTAGACCTCGCTCTATGTTCTAACGATGCCATACACATGCTCTGCACATGTTCAAAGCCGAATGAATAAATGGAGATTGTTGAGAGCGCTGTTGAACTTTGGTGTCTCAGAAGGACATCTGTCAGCTATTGGTGTACCAGAACCAGCACTGAAGGTATGCAGGCGTGACATCAGCCTTTCATAGTTCATGACAATCAGAACAAGATCACTACAGTTTGGTGTGTCTCTTTCTTGGCTAGAGACCTCCCCCAGTTTTTGATGACTTACACCTTGGTTTGGGTTAAAGATGTCCTTGTATTTTGTTAGAGAGGATAAAGAAACTGGGAAGGGAAAGGAAAGAAAAAAAAAAAAAGAAAGAACGGCCTGCTGAGTAGCCTGCCCCTAAAGGTTGTAGTCAGAGTATGGGTCAAACTTAGTTCTGAGGCGTGGGTCCTGTAATCCCAGCTGTTCTAAGACTGAAGCAAGAGGTCCACAAGTTAAAGGTTTGCCTGGGCTACATTGTGAGTTCAAAGCCAGCCTAGACCACTTAGTGCGAGTCTGTGTCAAAATAAAAAAATACAAAGAGGCTGGGCATGTTGATCACTGTGGAATACTTGCTTGGTATGTATAAGGATCTACGGTCAATCTCCAATATTTCCAAAATGTGTGCTCCATGTACACACACACACACACACACACACACACACACACACACACACACACACACACACACAATTTAAATAGCTTTGAGGAAATGAGAAATATTTTCTTATATCCTCTCATGTTATGCCTTCATATTGGGTGTGTTGAGGAATACTAGTTTAAGATGTGTTACATTCATTTATGCTGTGGAATATTTGTTTAGTGATGCACAGATGATGGGGGAATGAGTTCCAGCCTTGATGTCCTCTCAGGGTCCAGGTTAGGGGCTTAACAGTAAGCTGCTAAGGCTTGGCTAAACAGGTCTGAGGGTGAAGGGAAGTAAGCTGGCTCACACAAACATTCCTCTTATTGCTTCCAGTTTATATGCCAGGTATAGATACAATTAGCAATTTTTTTCCCTGACAAAAGCAAAGATACCAGGCATGCGTATCTTTCAGAACCAGGAAGGCAGATAAAATCTTGAGAAAAGCAGGCACCTCACATCTGGGGCAGGGGGGTGAGACAGGATGGACATGACTTGTGAAGTGTCCCCTGCAAAACTCTAGAGATGGGGGAAGGCTTAAATGGAGTAAGGGGCTTATTATCGGTAAAAAGGAAGAAAAGTATTAGTTCATAAAACTACATTTATGTGGTTAGTTAGACTAGAAGTCTATAATTGATAAGTGTAAAACAAGGAAGAAACACTAGAAGTTTACAATTAATAAATGTAAAACAGGAAGAATCACTGTATGCCTTGTGCTTTGCTTTCCCTTTTGAAGTAGCTGGAAACACAGCATCATGATAGCCATGGCAACTTGCTTAAGTATATTGGTAACTTGTTAAGATAGAGTGGGGACCAGTAGGCTGCACTCTCCTGAGTTGGCTGTTAGAGGAATCTGTGCCACCCAGTCCTGCTTGTCAGTGGAGACAGACAGACCTGTCTCCTACTCAGTACCTGTCTTTTGAGCCTCTGAATGTAGTTTGTTTGCAAGGCTTCTCTCCTTGTTGGGTGCCCTGCCATAAGAGACGAGCTAGCTTCTAAATTACATAGATTTGACTATAAGAACAGAAGGTTTCCTTGACTATGTGAATACTTCCACACCAGGGCCCCACAGTATGGGGGAATTTTATCCAGTTTACCAGTACAACAGGGAGTTGTACCCAATAATTGATTAATACACTGCTGGAGCTTTAGGGGACGAATCCTACTATGTAAAACGTGGAGTGCTATGGTATCATAAGTTTTTTACAGGGATGACAGTGACTATTCAAAAAGCAGGTATCCCCAATGCTTTGCAAGTGGGGATTTTTCTCCAACAGTATTCTGATGGGTTAGCCTAGTGAGTTTGTCAACTGAAATCTCACTGCATGATCTTGTGGACCACAGCACAAAGACATGCTACATTTGTTTGAGTAAATAAAATTAACCTGCGGTCAGGGGATTGAGTCAGCAACTAGCTGACAGGAAGTGGTAGGGAGGAACCATATGTAGCAAGGGTTCTTAAGAAGGGGCCAAGCGGGGGCTGGAGAGATGGCTCAGAGGTTGAGAGCGCTGACTGCTCTTCCAGAGGTCCTGAGTTCAATTCCCAGCAACCACATGGTGGCTCACAACCATCTACAATTCAATCTGGTGCCCTTTTCTGGCGTGTAGGCAGAACATTGTATATGTGATAAGTAAATAAATCTTTAAAAAAAAAAAGAAGGGCCAAGCAGAAGGACCCCCTGTTTGGGGGGAGACACAAGATAGGAGAGGAGGTTAGTTACTTGCTATTCAGCCTCTGAGTGAGCAGAATTTCACCTCAACCTTTGAATTCTGAGTTCTATAGAGGAATAGAGATCTAGAAAAGTTTCCTCTGGCTACCTTGATAGAGCTGGTGCCTGAGGGAACAGAATTCCTGACTGACTGGTGACTGAACTGGTAGCTGTGAGTTGCAGTTGCCTATTAGGACTGCAGTTGCTTAAGGGGCAGCTACTGAATTTAATAGAAACAGCGTGGCTGTTTCTTCAGGGGTGATGTGATCTGTTTATTATGGATAGGCCATAAAATGTAGCCTGAAAATACACAATGACTTTGCATTGGGAGGAGAATAAGAGGAAATAATTCTGTTATGAATGGTCACTAACGTGGAGAAAGCTGTATTTAGTTGGAACACATTGCAGTTTTCAAGTAAAACATTATCAGTTGTTTCAGGAAGATTATAATAGCTCAGAAGTGTTCATCTGCTCACTCTGTCCAGAGATGCCGAGACAGGCAATTGTGTTTCCAGTTACAACTGAGGAGCTAGAACTAGAAATTAATTTTACACAATATAGAAACCAAGTGCTAGGCAGAGGTCTGCCTCTCTGATGATAGTATAGCACATAGACAGCATTACTTTAATTTCTTTATTTTCTCTGAGAGAGGACATGAGGCATTTTGCTGTTTCCCAGATGTGTCCTACTCAACTTTTAGCGTTCCTATAGTGGGAGGTACCTCAGACTTCTGGGTAGTTTATTCTTCAGACAAACAGAATCAACCGGGTGATTTAGAAAGTGATGTAGTGTAAGAAATTGGCTTATATGAAGATGATGGCTAAGTGGTCCCGGGATCTTCAGTGTAAAATCCAGTGAGTACAGCTCTAGTCATGTCTGAAGGCCTGCACCTCAGGAAAGCCAGCACTCCACAGCTTAGACTGAAAGCCAGCCTGTGGGCGGAGCCGCCTGCTCGAGGGAGCTGATGAGTTCCAGCCCCACAGGCAGGGAAGACAGATCTGCCAGCTTAGACACTTGGACAGGCTAAAGCACCCCTAACTTGAGAGAGAGCCGCCTTTTTGTTTGATTCAAGTCCTCAATTCTTTGGGCTTCAGAATAATTTGCTGCTTTTCAGCCAATTGAATCAAATGTTAATGAAAGAATGAAAGATGGGTCAAGACAGAAATAAAGGAATGAAAGACTTTCTAGAATTCAGGGACGATGAATATGCAGCATATCCAAACTTACGGAATTCAATGAAAGCGGTGCTGAGGAAAGATCATAGCACTAGGTACCTGTTAAGGGAAGCCTTTTCCTTGAGAGAAGCCTTCCCGCCAGCCTGATTCCAGAGCCGCATCAGTCCCAAATAAACACACAGGAGGCTATATTAATTATGAAGCTTTTGGCCTTGCTTGTTTCTTACTTGATAGCTCTGACTTAAGTAATTACCCCATAATTGTTAATCTAAGTATGTCTCTTACCGGAGAAGTTTCCGGGCTTCCTAACCCTGTCTTTCTCCTTCCCAAAGTCCTTCTGGACTCCTAGTCCCACCTATCTTGGTTCGCTATTGGCCAACAGTGCTTCATTGACAAATACACAGGACTTCCCCCAACAGGTACCTACATTAAAAAATTGGTGAGATCTCACACTGGCAGCTTAACAGCATGCCTGAAAGCTCTGGAACAAAAAGAAGTAATCACACCCAATAGTGGTAGATGGCAAGAAATAATCAAACTCAGGGTTAAAGTCAATAAAATAGAAACAAAGAAAAATATAAGAATCAATGAAACAAAGAGCTGGTTCTTTGAGAAAATCAACAAGATAGACAAACCTTATCCAAACTAACTAAAAGACACACAGAGAATATTCAAATTGACAAAATGGGAATTGAAAAGAGGAACATGCTGACAGCACCAAGGAAATCCAGAGAATCATAAGGACATTTTAAAAACCAGTACTCCACAAAATTGAGGAATCTAAAAGAAGTCGATAATTTTCTTGATGGGTATCACTCACCAAAGTTAAATCAAGACCAAATAAACAATTTAAATAGACCTATAACACTCAGTGAAATAGATATAGGCATTACCCTCTGCCCTCCCCCTCACGCACAAAAAAAAAAAAATCCCAGGCAGATGGTTTAAATACAGAATTCTGTCATATTTTCAAAGAAGAGTTAATACCAATACTTCTCAAATTATTCCACAAAATGGAAACAGAAGGAAAGTTGCCCAGTTGATGTTATTAGGCTACAGTTACTTTTACCCAAACCACATAAAGACTCAACAAAGAATTACAGACCAATTTCCCTTATGAACATAAATACAAAGATACTCAACAAAATACTTGCAAACCAAATCCAAGAACACTTCAAAAAAATCCACCACGATCAAGTAGGCTTCATCCCAGAGATGCAGGGCTGGTTCAGCATGTGTAAATCACCAAATATAATTCACCATATAAACAAAGTGAAAGAAAAAACTCCACATGATCATCTCATTAGGTACAGAAAAAAACTGACAAAATCCAACATTCCTTCATGATAAATATTGTGGAGAGATTAGGGATATGAGGGCTGTGCCTAAACATAATGAAGGCAATTTACAGCAAGCCTATAGCCAGTATCAAATTAAATGGGGAGAAACTTAAAACAATGTCACCAGAAATGAGGGAGAAGACAAGGTTGCCGACTCTCCATATCTACTCAGTGTGGTACTAGAAGTTTACCTACAG